GCTGAGTTCTGAAGGGGATGGCTGTTAACTGCAGGAAGATATCAATGGTTTGGTTGAGTGGGTGGAAAATTGGCAGATGGATTTCAACCTGGACAAGAGTGGGGAGTATAAACAAAGCAAGAGAATACACGAGAGAATATTGAGAGAGATAGAGAAAGTGCGACACCTTGAAGGCTGTAGGTCCTGAGGATGGCAGATTGAACAAGGTGGTAAAGAGGGCATATGGGACACCTTCCTTTATTGAGTGAGGTATTGAGTACAAAAGCAGGGATTTATCGTTAGAACAATACAGGCCACAGCTGGAGATTTGTTTACAGTTCTGGTCACCACATTACAGGAAGGACATTATTGCACAGAAAGTGCAGAGGAGTTTTTACAAGAATGTTGCTCGGGCTTGAAATTTGCAAGCAGGAGGGAAGACTAAAGAGGGTAGGCATGTTTTCCTTAGAATGGAAGAAGCTGATGGGTGTTGTAAGTGAGGTGTACAAAATGATGAGGAGCTTGGACAGAGAGGATAGGGTAAGACCAGCTTTCCCTGCTGGAGAGGTCAGTTACCAGGGCGGCATCGATTTAAGGTAACTGGTGGAAAGGTTAACAGGAATACAAGGAAAAACATTTTCACTCAGAGGGAGGTGAGTTTCTGAAATTCACTGTCCAGTTTGAGGTGGAAATTCTTTTTCAAAGGAACCTGAATCTGCACCTGAAGCGCTGTAACCTGCAAGGTTACTGACCAGGAAAGTGGGATAGATTGAACGGCTAGATTATTCAGCTAGGACAGACATGCTGGGCTAAATGGCTGCTTTCAGGGCCATACTTTTCCCATGGTGCTTCGGAATTTTAGGTCAGATACTGCGTAGATCTCATACTCTCATCCACTTTGATATGATTCTCATCAGGGAAAAATGCAATCCCTGGAAAAATCTTTGTCTTTTTTGACAGTCAATGGCTTAGTGACCTGTGAAATACTGCAAATCTCTTCTGGTGTGTTGAGAGTTCCCACTCCAGGCTTTAGACCTGTTTCAGCCACTCACACTTGGCTTTTTATTTTTCTTCTGTTGGTACTTGGGATAGGGAGCTGGACTACCATTTATTGTCCATCCCTAATTGCACAGAGGGCAGTTAAGAGTCAACCACATTGCTGTGGGTCTGGAGTCACATGTAGGCCAGACCAGGTAAGGATGGCAGTTTCCCTCCCTAAAGGATGTTAGTGAACCAGATGCGTTTTTGCTATAAACCAAAGGAGTTATATAGTCAGTATGAGACTAGATTTCAATTCCAGATTTTTACAGAATTCAAATTTCACCATCTGGTGTGGTGGCTGTGCCATTCCCAGGTTCCCAGAGTGATCATCTGTGGTTCTGGGTAACTCGTCCAGTGATATTACCACTAGGCCACCAACTCCCTCTTAGTACCTTACCCTTAGACCAAGGAATCCATACAAAAAGTGAAAGGTCACGGGTGAATGAACATTGGGATTATAGACCCATGAATAGTGTCAATTGCTCATTCTTATATTGTAGGTAGTTTCTAACTCACTTGCCCAGAGATGTTACAACACACCTCTGGGGTAGGTCGGACTTGAACCCAGGCCTCTAGTCTCAAGAATAGAATTAGCCGCACGTGGTTTATGGTTAACAACACTGAACACTATTCCACTTGTAAACTGCGTAATCCACAGCAACATCATCCACCTGAGAATGTAACTGTCCTGACTAAGAAAACTCAGACATAATGATAGATTTCACCTAGAAACTTCAAAGCAGCTGCTATTGAGGTAGTCAATGTGTTGGTTTTAATTTTTCAGATTTTATTTGATTCGGGGAAGGTTTCTGTAGATTGAAAAATAACTAATGTAACTCCTTTATACGAAAAGGCAGAAAGCAGGAAATGACAGGTCAGTTAGCCTAACATCCATCAAAAGAAAAATGTTAGAAGCTATTATTAAAAAGGTTATAACAGGGCACTTGGATAAGTTCAATGTAATCAGGCAGAGCCAACATGGTTTTGTCAAAAGGAAATCATGGTTTACTAATTTATTGGAGTTCTTTGAAGTAACTTGTGCTATAGGGAAAGGGAAACCAGGGGTGTACCGTATTTAGATTTTCTGAAAATATTTGATAAGATGCCACATCAAAGGCTATTGTGGAAAATAAATGTAGCGGGTAACATATTGGCATGGATAGACGACCAGCTGGTTAACAGGAAACACAGAGTAGGAGTGAATGAGTTATTCAGGCAGGTGGGATATCACGAGGGTTATGCTACAGGGGTCAATGTTTGGTGCTCAACTCCTTACAATTTATATAAATTATTTAGATAAAGGGATTGAAGGTATGCAGCTAAATTTACTAATGACACAAAGAGAAGGAAAATGTGTTGTGAAGAGGACATAAGGAGCCTACAAAGGGATAGAGATAGGTTCAGTGAGTGGGCAAAGATCTTGCAAATGAAGTATAATATGAGAAAGTGTGACGTTGTCAATTCTGACAGAACCCATAAAAATAATGCAAATGATGAGAGGCTGCAGAGCTCTGAGCTGTTGAGGGATCTGGGTGTTCTTGCACATGAGTCACAGAAAGTTATTACGCAGGTACTGCAAGTAATTGTGAAAACTAATAGGATGTTATGGGTTATTGTAAAGGGAATTAGATGCAAGAGTAAGAAGGTTATGCTTTGGTTATATCTGACTTTGGTGAGACTGCATCTGGAGTACTGTTGGACAGAACTGGCCAATGTACTTAGAGAAGGATGTTAAAGTGTTGGAAGCAGTTCAGGGAAGGTTTACTAGACTAATACTTGGACGCCTGTATCCTCTGGAGTTTAGAAGAGTCCAAGGGACGCAATTGCAACATATAAGATCCTGAGGGGTCTTGACTGGGTGGATCAGAAAGCATGTTTCCCCTTGTGGGAGAATCTGAAATAGAGGTTAAAACAGGTTACAATAAGGGAACACACATATAAAACAAAAATGAGAAAACATTGTTTTTCTCTCAGAAGGTTGAGGGTCTTTGGAATTCCCTTCTTCAAAAGGCAGTGGATGCAGAATCTTTAAAATATTCTTAAGGCGGAGGTAGATAAATTCTTGATTACCAAGGGGATGAGAATTTATCAGGGGTGTTCAGGAAAGTACAGCTGATCAGCTGTGATCTTATTGAATGGCGGAACAGAATCAAAGGGTAGAGTGGCCTACTCTTGTTCCTTGTTTGCATGTTCATAATGCACATCAATGCAAAAGGAAGACAAAGACTCCTGTAAATGGATCCATAATGCAGTGACACCTGGTCCACTATTGTCTGGTGGGGGGAATCTACCAGATCCACAACCCCCTGCCTGCCAGTATATTCATAAAAATGATTAAGATCTGAAAACAAAACATTTGCAGGGTCATGGGGAAAAGGCAGGGGAGTCACAGTGAAGGTGTGTAGGGGTGGGCAGGGGGTGGTGATTGCAGAAATAGAGTGGATCCTATTCCTGAGTGTCAGTTTAGCTCAGTTGGCTGGACAACTGACCTGCAAAGCAGTGTTGACGCTGACAGCGTGGCTTCAATCCCCATCACCAGCTGAAGTTAATATGAAGGACTCTCCTTCTCAATCTTGCTTGAGATGTGGTGTCCCTCAGGTTAAATCATCCGCAGTTGTCTCTTTAATGAGACAGTAGCCCTATGGTCGAATAAGACTATGGAACTTGACTTGAATGGAAGTCATTCAGAGGAGATGCTTAGAGACGGCAAGCATGAAGATGCCCCTGAGCTAAAGCCAAAGATCAAAGCATTTTTTTGTAATTCATTCATAGCAGACAAGCATAATTGGCTAGGTCAGCATTTATTAACTTTGAGAAGGTGGGGGTGAGCTGCCTTCTTGAACTGCTGCAGTCCATGTGCTGTGGGCTCACCCACAATGCCCTTAGGGAGGGAATTCCAGGATTTTAACCCAGTGACAGTGAAGGAACGGCGACATATTCCTGTCAGGATGGTGAGTGGGTTGGAGGGGAACTTTGGGCCATGGCATTCCCATGTATCTTGTCCTTCTAGATGGAATTGGTCGTGGGTTTGGAAGGTGCTGCCTGAGGATCTTCGGTGAATTTCTGCAGTGCATCTTGTGGATAATACAGACTGCTGTGACTGAACGTCGATGTTGGAAGGAGCGGATGTTTGTGGATGTGATGCCAATCAAGTGGACTGCTTTGTCCTGGATGGTGCCAACCACTTTGATTCTAACCAGCAGAGAGCTTTGCCCCCGATGCCCATTGATTCCAGTTTTGGTAGGGCTCATTGATGCCACACTAGGTTACATGTGGCCTTCATGTCAAGCGCGGTCACTCTCGCCTCACGTCTGCAATACAGCTCTTTTGTCCATGTTTCTGATGGGGCCTTTCAGAAACTCTACAGCAGAGCTTTGAAACAAAATAATGATGGGCTTAATGATGTCATTCTGTGCTGTAACCAAACTGTGGAACCAAAGCAGGCAAATGGGGTTTGAGATAATCAGCCACGATCAAACTGAATGGCTAAACACACAAGCTCGGTCAGGGTGTTTAAAAAGGCAAAATTAACTGGACTGGAACATGAACACCTTGGAGCAGATGCCATTAAAACCACATAAACCAGATAAAGGTGTTAATGTCCACCAAAGTCAAGCTCTACCTCCAAATATAAAACCTCCATCTATAACCAAATCTATCAGGATCTGTACAAACTAGCTTGAATTCCTGTAAACAGGGCAGACCGACAGATCACAATTGACTAATTCCTTTCAAAACGCAGTGGTAGAGTTTGTGAAAGCTCCAACAGGAGGACGGAAAGCCTACAGACATGATAATATTCCCATTCCCTGATATTGTAAAGTAAAAACCCACAATATTTTCTCACCTTTTGACTGCACAGACCTTAGTTTAGCTGAGACAAGGCATTGGGCTGTGAGTTGTCTTGTCTCTTGGTTCCAGGCAGTCTGTCACTAATCTGGGTGGGAACCAGGCTGACACTTGAGTGTAGTCATGGGCAGGATAAGGGATGAGTCAGATGAAACCGCAGTCTCTGGGGCAAAAAGGGAGTTTCAGCCACGTTTTCAATAATGGAGTGTCTCTGAATTGGAGCTTCTTTATGAGAGACTGCTGTATTTGGAAGCCTTTGGCTTTCTGAAGCCAACAGATGGTGTGGGAATGGACAGGCAGCTAAAGGGTAAGGTGTTTCAATGTTTAGATTGATATTGAAAGTATATTTTCTAACATTTGTGCTCCCAGCAGAAACATGACAGCTCGATTGGAAACCCAGATACATTTGCTGTCATTTTAAAATAGTCCAGCAGCACCTGTCCTCCAGAAGGGCTGGGAGTCAGAAAATAACCACTGAGGTTTGATAAATATTTGGATAAGAAAAGCCCATCATGATTGCTGTAATACTGTTCAGTTATTTGGTTCTTTTTTTTAAACTCTCAATATCTAAAGCCACCGTCTGTTACACTGTTAAGACTTCATCATCCAGTAAGTACAAACCAAGTGTGTGAGTGATGCATTCAGTAATCCACTAGGGCTTTCTGTGTGGCCTCAGTGCTTAGAAGATCACAGGACCAGAAGACCAATCAGCCCCTCAACTCTTCTCTACCATTCAACAGATCATAGCTAATCTGTACCTATTAGAATCATTTGTCTTAAGTAAAAACCAGAAGTGCTGGAAAGCCTCGGCAGGACTGGCAGCATCTGTGGAGAGAGAAACTGAGTTAAGGTTTTGAGTTCAATGAGACTTCTTCAAAGCTCAAGACTCAGCTCTATTTTCTTGGTCTTCATATCCCTTGCATCACAAACCTAATGACCTGATAAACTGTTTCTAGTGATAAATATTGACAAAGACACCAGCAAAACCCTTTCTACATTTGATTGAATCGATGCATCTTTCACATCCACCTGAGAGGGCAGTTGGGAATTTGGATAAACATCTCTGACCGTGCTGCTCTCTCTCAGTACTGCAAGGTGCTGTTCTTCATGAAGGCTAACCAAACAAAATACCAGAAAATGTTACATTCAATCAAACGGGAAGAATATCAACACTGAGGTACACTAGTATTAAGTGCTTTATCTATTTAATCTTTTTCTTCTTCTGAGGTGTGGTGACCCTCAGCTTAAACCATCACCAATTGACTCTCTCAGTGAGAGAGATGCCCTATGGTCTGATAGGATTATGGTGGCCTTACTGTTTTACCGCTTATGTATAAAGATGGGAATGTTAAAGATCAAGGTGAGATGTTGGATATTGAGTTTGAAGGTCTCACCTTTTTTAGCCAGAAAAGCAGACAGACAATAATCAGCAGTTTTTCCATTGGAAATCGTGAATAATGCACATTTTTGGGATAATGATAGGAAAGTGCAGAGAAGCAAGTATGAGAGACAGGACCAGCTTGGTATATGGAGCTTGCCCAATCAAAATTCAGTCCTCTGACCAGCAGTCACCTGCTCCTTGAAGCCTGGGTGTTGGTGTGACGAGACCTGTCACTTTAAGTAAAGCTGCAATGTGACAGAATGAGATAACAAGGTGACCCTTCTGAAGAAGGGTCTAGGCCCGAAACGTCAGCCTTCCTGCTCCTCTGATGCTGCTTGGCCTGCTGTGTTCATCCAGCTCTACACCTTGTTATCTCAGATTCTCCAGCATCTGCAGTTCCTACTATCTATGTGACAGAATTATGTCACTCAAGCTAGAATGCAGAGCTGTGAAAAACAACTCAAACAAAACGCAGGCATGGTCAAAGCCTGAGACCATAAAAGAGAGCTCGAAAGTGTTTTGAACAGATAAGTTTTATCTGATCATGGGATCTTGTGTTGTTTAACCAAATTGTAAAAGAAACAAGGGTGTGGCTCTAATAAGACTAGTACACAAAACATCCTCAAGAACAATCATCTCCCCTTTGCTGTCCTGTGCACTCCTTAAAAGGGACGATGAACAGCAGAATGCTTTTCCGCCACTCCCTCCCTGGGCAAGTGGGCTCGGACACCAACTTGGGGCTCTTGGAAGACCTACATTGAACCTGCAGTTCCCTGAAGCAGGCAGAAAGCAGGGCCAGCAGCCAAGGAGTTAAACTAGTCGCCCAGTTTCAAAGTTCTGAAGTCAAGTAACCACATTGGGCAGGAAAATTAAATACAAAAGGTGGGGGAGGGAACAACAGAAAGCTGTGCTTTCCCTTCTGCAGTCCCCTCACCCGTGTTCATCCCCACACCCCAAGCACCACCAGAGCTGAGTTGCTGGCACGAGGCTGGTGGCATCTGGATAATTTTAATCCCAGTCCCCTGAAACTCCGATATAACTGTTGGAAAATCTTTTTTGGTGCCAAACTTCTGAAACCTCCCCTCAGCCCAATTACTCACCAGTGACCAATAAACTCTGAGAGCAGCTGATTAAATACATCAGCATACACAATGATTAACAATACCGAAGAGCTGGCAAAAGGGCAATTTGTACAAAAATATTCAATTTTCAAATCATTAAATTCCTTAAAATGTCATTAATTTGTAACACATGCTGTCTGAATCAAATGGGAGATTTTGGTGCCTTTTTGCCTCACCCAGAAAAACAGACCCATAACTTTCATATTACAGTTAGTTATCTGTTTCCTGTCATAATTCACAAAACAAAATTCTGTCGTCGTTTTCACCTGCACCAGAATTTGATTTTTTGTGGCTTTAGTTTGTCTTCTTGAGCTGTGAGATTAGCAGATCCAAGTTGTTGCCTCAGTCATCATGTTTTGAATATGTTCTGCTCAAACTGGGATCACCCCCAACCCAACAGCCCTCCCCCCTCCACGGTTGGACCAGCAATGGGGAGATTTTTTTTCTGTTCATTGCTATCTCAGAGAAGCAGAGATGGACAGATGATGACGGGACACACTGGCCACTTTGTACTCAGAGCAGAACTGCAGACCACAGTTCAGCATTCCAGAAGGCCATGGGCAACTTAAAATCCCAGGCCTGAGACACCTAGATTCTGGGAGTGATTACACGTCCAGAGCAGGCCCTGTTATACCTGCTCTGTGTGAATAAGACTCCATTGCCTGCTTTGCCTCGAAAAGGGAGGTCATATGCAGACAAGGCAAATGTCTCTCAAAATAAACAGAGGCACACAGACAGGATGCTGTTGTCTCTCTCTCTCTCTCTCTCCTTTTTTGTGGTCTGCACAGAGACTTGCAAACTGCTTTGGGTCAAGAGGATTGGACATGTCAACCCAACTCGAGGCAGAGTGTTTGGCTTGGCTCAGAGTACGAAGGAGATAAATTTGTTTTTGTAACTTGGCTTCATTATCTTGGTTGAAAGTTTAGTGGTCCACGGAGGGCATGCTAAGTTTATGATGTTAAACCCAGCATATTCAGATAGACACAGAAGATTCCACGGCTTAAAAAGCAAGGTCACATTCTGGGTACCTTGTAAAACATTGAGTCCTCAAAGCCACCAAATAATGTATCTTAGACCATAAGATAACAAAGCAGAATTAGGCAATTTGGCTCATCAAATCTGTTCTGCCATTCTATCATGGCTGCCTTCTCCCTGTAACCTTTGATCCCCTTACTAATCAAGTGCATACCTATCTCTGTCTTAAAGGCACTCAATGACTTGGTGACCACAACCATCTAATGCAATGAATGCCACAGATTAACCACCCTCTGGCTGAAGAAATCCCTCCTATTTCAGTTCTAAAGGGTTGTCCCTTCACTGAGGCTGTGCCCTCAGCTCATACTTTCTCCTACTAGTGGAAAGATCTTCTCCACATTCACTGTATCCAGACCTCTCAGAATTTTATAAGTTTCAATGAGATCCCCTCATATCCTTCTAAACTCCATCGTGTACTGACCCAGATTCCTCAACCACTCCTCATATAACAGCCCTTCATCTCCAGGATCATTCTTGGAGACCTCCACTGGACCCCCTCCAAGGCCAGCACATCCTTCCTTAGATATGGGGCCCAAAACTGCTCACAATATTCCAAATCTGGTCTGACCATAGCCTCATACAGCTCGTGTATTCTAGCCCTCTTGAAATGAATGTTAACATTGCACTTGCCTTCCTAACTGCCAACTGAACCTGCATATTAATCGTAAGACTAGGACTCCCAAGTCCCTTTGTGCCTCTGAAACTTCTCCCCGTTTTGAAAATAGTCTCTTTTCTTCCTGCCAAAGAGCATAATCTTACATTTTCTCACATTATGTTCCATCTTCCACTTCTTTGCTCACTCTCCTAGTCTGTCCAAGTCCTTCTGCAGCCTCCCTGCTTCCTCAACACTACCTACCTGTATTTGTGTCATCTGCAAATTTAGCTATAACGCCTTCAGTTCCTTCATCCAGATTGTCAATATATAACATGAATAGTTGTGGTCCCAACACTGACCCCTGCGAAATCCATTACTCACTGGCTGCCATCTTGAAAAAGACCCTTTTATCCCTACTCTCTGTCTTCTGCCAGTCAGCCAATGCTCTATCCATGCCTGTACTTTGCCCCTACCACCAGGGGCTCTTATTTAGCAGCCTCCTGTGCAACACTTTGTCGAAGGCCTTCTGGAAATCCAAGTAGATCACATCCATTGGCTCGCCTTTGTCTACCTTGCTCATTATCTCCTCAAAGAATTCTAATAGATTTTTCAGGCATTACCTTCCCTTGATAAAACTGTGCTGATTCAGCCCTATTTTATCATGCACTTCTAAGTACTCTGCAATGTCATCCTTAATATTGGGCTCTAAAATCTTACTAACAACCGAGGTCAGGCTAACCAGCCTATATAGTTTCCGGTCTTCTATCTCCCTCCCTTTTTAAACAGGGATGCTACATTAGCCATTTTCCAGTCTTCTGGGACCATTCCTGACTCCAGTGATTCCTGAAGGATCATCAGCAATGCCTCTACTATCTCCTCAGCTATCTCCTTCAAAATCCTGAAGGTGTAACCCATCTTGTCCAGGTGATTTATCCACCTTCAGCTCCCCCAGCACAATTTTGTTTTAGTGATGGTCACCACAGTCACCTCTTCCCCCTGATTCTCGAAGTTCTGGTATGCTGCTGGTGTCTTCCACCATAAAGACTGATGCAAGCTTTACCTGTTTAGTTCCTCCACCATTGCTTTGTTCCTCAGCCTCATTTTCCAGTGATCCAATGTCCACTCTTGCCTCTCTCTTACTTTCCATATTTCTAAAAAAATCTCATAATCTTCTT